ACCCGTAACCCGACCAACCCGACTATAATAGAAGGAATTCGATGAAGATAAACTATAACTCTATAAGTTGACATTTGAAATTCTGGTTCACTAAAGTCTGATCATTACATCATCAATTAATAACTTAGTATAATAATAATAATCTTCAACCTATTAACACATATAACATCATCAAATATTGATTTAGATACATCATCAACCTAATAGTGCACATAACATTATAAAATATTAATTTAGCATAGTAAGATAATTATAAGATTTAAAATCCAAATATCATGATTCTATCATAAAAAAGACTAATAATAGTTCACAAAAGTCTGATCATAACAATAAATGGTACATTTTGGTGGTGGTATGGTTCTGCGTGAATCAGATGGATATTGGCATGAGTTAGACAGATATTGGCGTGAGTGGAAATCCATTTGCGTGAACCATATAGTTTTGGCCTGAATTAGATGGTGTTGATGTGAATGAGAATGCGTTGCGTGATCCAGATAGTGTTGACATGAATCAGATGGGTATTGGCGTGAACGGTGATGCATTTGCATGAAGTTTTGGCGTGTCTGGAGATAAATGTGCGAGAATCAGATGGGTATTGGCGTGAATGGAGATCCATTTGAGTGAATCAGATTGGCATTTGCGTGAATGGTGATGCATTTGAGTGAATCATATAGTTTTCTATGTGGATGTACATAAATGTGCGTGAATCAGATGGGCAATGGCGTGAATGGTAATGCATTTGCATGTAGAAGATAGGTAATGGCGTGAATGGAGATCCATTTGCGTGAAACAGATAGTGTTGGCGTGAATGGTGATGCATTTGCGTGAATCATAGTTTTGGCGTGTCTGTATAGAATGTGCGTGAATCAGATGGGTATTGCCGTGAATGAAGATCCATTTGCGTGAAGAGTATAGTGTTGTCGTGAATCAGATAGTGTTGGCGTGAATGGTGATAATCAGATGGATATGAATGTGCGTGAATCAGATAGATATTGGCGTGAATGGAGATCCATTTGCGTGAAGCCGATAGTGTTGGCGTAATCAGATTGTCATTGGTGTGAATGGTGATGCATTTGCGTAAATCATATAATTGTCGTGTCCGGAGATAAATGTGTGTGAATCAGATGTGTATTGGCGTGAATGGTGATGCATTTTCGTGAATCGTCTAGTTTTAACGTGTCTATATATGAATATGCGTGAATCATATGGGTATTGGTGTGAATGGCGATTCATTTGCGTGAATCATATAATGTTGGCATGAATCACATAGTGTTGACGTGTCAGGGTAATTTGCTTGAAATGGTTTCTATCAATATAGCATTAGAATCACATAGTGTTGAATCGTATATTGTTAGATTGTGCAAAACATATAGCATTAGCATGAATGGCTAAAGCGATAAGTGTGAGTATTTGGGGAGAGAACTTAATACATGAGGATTTTGAATCTTTGTTATGGAAATCATTTTCATAGTTGAGTAGTTTTAGTGTAGGTATTGCACTTTAACTCGTGAATGTGTTGTTGAACTTGATATTTTGGCACATCTAGAGACAAAACACCAAAGACACGCGTAAATTTAAATGGTTATAATTTTAAATGTTGTGTTGTCTCCTCTAAAGACAAGAGAACTTTTCCTTAATCTTCTTTGAATATGGATGTACATAAATGTGCGTGAATCAAATGGGTAATGATGTGAATGGTGATGCATTTGCGTGAAGCAGATAGGTAATGGCGTGATTGGAGATCCATTTAAGTGAAACAGATAGTGTTGGCGTGAATGGTGAAACATTTGCGTGAATCATAGTTTTGGCGTGTCTGTTTATGAATGTGCGTGAATCAGATGGGTATTGCCGTGAATGAAGATCCATTTGCGTGAAGATTATAGTGTTGTCGTGAATCAGATAGTGTTGGCGTGAATGGTTATGCATTTGCGTAAATTATTTAGTTTTGCGTCTGTATATGAATGTGCGTGAATAAGATGAATATTGACGTGAATGGAGATCCATTTTCGTGAATACGATAGTATTGGCGTAATCAGATTGTCATTGGCGTGTCCGGAGATAAATGTGTGAATAAGATAGTATTGGCGTGAGTGGCTATCAAGTTTTCGTGAATAAAGCTACTTCGGCGTGACATTGTCTGTTTATGCGTAAATATGAATGTTTTGGCGTGACATGGCTTGCATTTGCGTTAATCACATGAAACTATTAATGATTTAACCAAGATTAATCAAAATCATAAATAATAAGGATCAAGTTATTTATTAACACATGTTCATGAATAAAATCATTTGGGGTTCAGGGTATAGACTATTTAGAGTTTAGAGTATATGTTATCGTGTAAAGTCACAATTGAACTCACAACAATTTTTCTAAATTTTATAATTCAGTTTAATACAAAAATCATATAAAAAATTAACTAGCTAAACCAACAATTTCTCTATACATTTATATGAATAATTTCATTTGTTTTTAAAAAATTAAAAAACTATTTTTTAACTTTTCTCTCCAAATTTTGGGTTCCCCCAATACTACTGCCCAAAAATTTGATTCCCCCCACCTGCCGAGACCCGCCAATAATTCCCCTTGTAATGTTTCCCCAAAATTTTGTTTCCCCCCACCTTTGAGTCTTTGACTTTGAGTAGTGATTCCTTTTTTTTTACAAGTATTGTGCTAGCTTCATATAGTTACGATTTACGACTTACTAGTAATCACTAAAACGTAACACGATATTTTGGTCCGTAAAACCCACAACCCGAACCGCCCGACCCACAACCCGATTGACCCGCTCTCGATTGACCCGTAACCCGAATGAACCCAGCCCGAACCCGCCCGATTGACACCTCTAGTTGGTGGGCGCATGTGGCGCTGGGAGTTGGGCCGACAGGTTTACTGCAATTAGCAATTAGTCTTTTTATTACAAACCACAGTTCATGATAAAAGGCTAATACTTTTCATCAAATGGATCCCATAAATGCACGAGCTTCAGGGCCGACCCATGATATTTGGAGGCCCTGTTCGAAAATTAAAAATGTGGCCCTAAAATTTTTGTGTCGTTTGGAATTTGTGATTGTTAAATAGATGTATTGTTGAGAATGCACGTATAATATTATACATGTATTGTCGAATTTGACGCATTGTAGAATACAACGTTTGGTATGTGTGATTTTATATGTCGCATCAGCTAAAAGCTGAGACAAAATAATCTCAACTCAACTATCTCAACAATCACAACTAAGGGGTCGTTTGGAAGTTGCGATTGTTAAATAGATTTATTGTTGAGAATGCATGTATAATATTATACATGTATTTGTCGAATTTGATGCATTGTAGAATACAACGTTTGGTATGTGTGATTGTGTATGTCGCATTAGCTAAAAGCTGAGACAAAACAATCTCAACTCAACTATCTCAACAATCACAACTAAAAGTTGAGATATAACAATCACTCAAAATGAGTGATAGTTTCTGTCACATCATAGAAACAATCCATGTATTGTTTCTACTAAAAAAACAAAAAAAAAAAAAAAACGATGCATTGTAAACAATACATGCGTAATGACAATCTCAACAAAACAATCGCAACTTCCAAACGACCCCGTAGGATAATTAATATTGTAATGTGGCTTTGTTCATGATATTTTGGACCGCCGATACGTTAACGTTGCAAATTTTCAGTAACCAATTTGCGGAGCGAAATCAGTTATTTTTTAAGAACTCAATATCTAGAACATGATGAGAGAGTAAGATTATATTAATTTAAATTAGTAAATTTAGTCATTTTTCATTAGAAGTAAAAACTTATTATGGAAAGTAACTATTTAATAATATACACATTGAGTTGAGTCTAAACTAGAGTGTGTTGGCTTTGGTTCCTATTTGGGCTGACTACCAATTGATCCTTTTGTTTATTCTAATTATTTGTGCGTTAATGAAAGTCCGGCCCACAACAGAAGCTAGTAAAATCTAGGAGAAAGAACCAAGCCACATCGTCTTCTCCTCCCAAGACTGTTCAATTTTTCTTTTTGGGTCAGACGCTCTGTAGACTATCCAATTATTTTAAGTATATTTATTATGTGTATGGGCCTGATTGTGATGAGGCCCCAAAATTTTGGAGGCCCTGTGCTGTGGGTCAGACCAGCACAGAATATGGGCCGGGCCTGACGAGCTTCATTCTCATACACTGATTACTAGTTTGGGTAAGAAGCCATGAATAAACATCCTAAAATAGCCTATCCAATGGGGTAGGTACGTGCTCTGTAAAATCATTGGGGTCATTAAAAATTAATAATACTATAAGTCTAAAACCTTATGCTTGATGAACTTTGAGTTGATTAAGGTTTTTAGTTACAACAATTACCGGTGACAGTATGGAGTCCTATATTTACATTAACTTACTCGAGCATATTTATTTAGTGTATTTCCCAAAATTTTGTTAAGGTCCTTGGACCTCTCTCCTCTTGTCTTCCCTTCATCACTAGGCCTACCTATTTTGGCAAGGTACTAACTTAGGTAACTAATTATGTTAAAAGAAATAATATAATATAATAATGACGCTCTCTATATCAAATTCTTTCAAAATTAACGCTCTCACGCTCCCACTCTCGTTCTCGCTCCCGCTCCACGAATCGGTTACCAAAATTTATACACCCCATTAAATTATCATCCATTACATTATTATAAGCGGCCACTCCATAATAATAATGGTCTAAGTCCCAAAGCGCTGGTCCCTTTTGCCTCTATTATTATCCGTGTGGTCCCTCGAGAGTCGAGTCAGCAGTCGGTACGGTAACGAGTTTAGAATACCTAGGAAAGATGATATACAGTTACACACCACCACCACCCACGGCCCACTTCTGGGAAGACGAAACAATCGACAATAATTAATTAATGTGGGAATTCGAATTTTCAAGGCAGAGCCACCCCACCCCAGCAACACAAAACCATAACATTAGCAGCCGGCTATTTTGAGGTAGTAGTTCCTTCCGGGATGTTGGATCAAATTGGAGAGAAGATGAGCATGATTCATATGCGCAAAGCAAGGATGACAGAATGGAAGGGTAGTACTAGTAGATATCAAAATATTCCAACAGTGAGTTGCCCCGTCCAGACTTGAGGATACACGTTTGCAGAGAAAGAAAAACACGGACAGAAACAACGATAAATGATACAAGTCAATCAAGTGAGAGGCTATTTCTTGTTTTCCCTCCCAGCCCCCATCAACCTTGTAACTTAGAGCTCTCCATCCCATATCTCCTCAATGCTGTGGTGCCCAGGCACCGCCTCGTTCACGAATTGAGTCCCCCTCAGCTGCCTTGCCTGCAAATTGTTACATACTTGGGTTACCGCTTCCATTCATTGGCTTTGATAACAACACAACGATCAAAAGAGTTGAAACCTACCTGCTCCATTTCTGACAGCTTAGCGAACAGATCGTCTGGGATAGACCAATCAAGGACTTCCAAGTTCTCCTTGATCCTCGACACGTTAGTACTCTTGGGAAGCACACTGTGACCCATTTGCAGCCCCCAACGCAGGGCCACCTGGGCTGGAGTTTTGCCCACCTTCTCCGCAACCATGTTCAAGATTGGGTTCTTCAGTACATCCATGGTGAACCACACCGTGCCAGGGGATCCCAATGGTGAATATCCCTGAAAACAGAACACAACCCCACCCAAAAAATCAAAACATCCTATACATGCCCGCACCATATTTTACTACGCTCATCAACTTGACCGACACATTCATAGGAAAACAAGTGTGCTCACAGTAAGATGAACCCCCTTGGATTTGCAGAACTCGTGGAGCTTAGGCTGCTGCCAATGAGGGTGGCACTCCACCTGAAGCACAGCCGGAGGGATGCGAGCAATCTCAATCAAATCCCCAAGTTTCTTGGACGAGAAATTACTCACTCCAATCGCTCGAGCTTTCCCCTCATCGTACAACGCCTCCATCGCCCTCCACGTCTCCGGGATATCGGCTGCCACAACGTTGTCGGGCTTCGACCCAACTGCCCCCTTCCTGAATCTAACCGGCCAGTGGATCTACATCAAAGAGGGGACCAGAACAATCATTCATACCCAACTAACTAGAATCACTTCATATAACAGCTAAATTCATCTTCCACATCCGGAAACAAAGCAATTACCAGGTATAGATCTACATAGTCAATCTGCAGGTCACGAAGAGTTCCTTCCAGCGCAGCCTTGACATCTTCTGGTGAATGGTTAGCGTTCCTGTCATTCGATTATCCTCGTATTAGGAAATACTTACAACCCCTTTCAAGGTCGTCTTGTTCAAACAAGGGCAAAAGAAGAAGAAGAATAATTAAACAGAGTCCATGTTGCTTCTGTGAAACCCTAGGGAAACAGAGGCGAACCAGAGTTTGGAAGTAATGAACAAATCCTCGCGCTTCACCACGCCCTCGTCGAAAAGCTTCTTCAGAACAGCTCCCACCTGCAAGCTCAGCGCCCAAAACAAGTACGGCAGCCAAGAAAGCAAAAAAGTTGAGAACCCATATCTTCTCTGTGAGGTAAGATATGAAACACCTTAAGCTCGTTCAGTCAAGTTACCTCCTTCTCGTTGCCGTACGCTTGAGCACAGTCGATATGGCGGTACCCAATCTGCATCGGAGAACAAACGAGCAACTACTTAGGTGTCCAAAAAATCAGAAAACTGAGACAAGGGGAGAAAAAGATGGAAAAAGAAAAAAAAAACAGGCTGCAGCAGCAAAACGAACTTTAACGGCAGCCTCAACGGCGGCGCCAACAAGACCAGGTGCAGCCTGCCACGTCCCCAGCCCCACCGCCGGGATACTAGCCCCGGTGTTCAGCTGGAAAGACTCCATTTCTTTTCCCATTCTCTGCTTTCTCCCTTCTCCAATAACAACAACAACTAACAAACAAAAGCTTGGCAGAAAGCAAAGCAGAGAGTGTGGCTTAGAAGAAAAGCTAGTAATGGTAGTGGCGCGGTGTGAGGGTTTATATCGAAGAGAAGTAACAGCAGAGAGACCAAAAACAAATGTGGCGCTGAGCAATGGAGGATTGCACGTGCTGGCCGTCGTCTAGCTAGCTCTAATCTCCACCGCCCACTTACAATACCAAAAATGTCTTTATTGGCCAGATTCTAGTCCTCAGAATCCAAAATGCAATCACACGGCAGTAGCTAATTCGGACTCTTGGAAATTCGTGATATAGGTTGATTTAATATTTTTATAAATCATACACTGGATGGAGTTGGTGTGAAAGTGGGATTGAAGGATTTTTTTGTTTTTTTTTTTTTTTGTTTTTCCATTCGCGATTAAGAAAATAATAAACAAGAACATTTAAATGTAGTCACTTTTGCTATGCTTTTTTCTTTTTCCTGAAAACTTCCACTATACTTTGAAATAATTTGAAGGCAACAGCTTTACGGGAAAAAAAGGTGGAAAACATGTTTCTTTTGTGCTTTCTGCAAAAATTGAGAACAAGAATAATTGTGAAGGCCGCTTCAAACTGTGAAACTGAAAGGTAAGAAGGGAAGGAAATACAAAGGGGTCCGGTCCTCCTTCCACAGGATATGTGGATGTGCCTCACATGTTCTAGAAACTTGAAAACTAATAAGAGTTAATTGCATGATTGGTCACTGAGATTACAAAAAACGTTCAAGTTTGATCACTCGAAATATTTAAATCGATGAGTGGTACTTCAATTTACTAAAACCGTTCACGTTTGGTCACTCTCCGTCCAACTCCGTTAACTTTGCCTGATATGGCAGTCAACTCTCAAAGTTGACTGTTAACTTGGTGACGTGACAATTAAAAAATAATAAATAAAATAAAATTTAATCTATTTTAATGTCCAACTCATTTTTACCATAAAATAAATAAATAAATAAATAAATTATTATAATTATCAAATTGAATGGTGCACTCTGAAACCTCACCATCTCATGCTGCTTGCCGCCGGCGATAACCATGGAGGAGCTCCTGCTCACGATTGCCGACCAATTCTAACACTCGGACGCGAAATCTCCGGAACGTGAAATTTCCTCCACCACACTCTCGGCAACCAAACAGAATCCACCGAAGCAAAGAAAGAGAGGGAAATGCTCAAAGCAAAGAAACCTACCAAGAAAACCGAATGGGATTCTTCCACTGCAGAACCTTCCAGTGGGCCTGCCGGTGTCAAAGTCTCTGCCGTAGGGAGGGCGGTCGGCGCGCGCGAAGATCCCCAGATAGTTGTTGGTGCCACAATCGACGACGACTCATATACACCACAATAGACGGGGACAGGGTTCTGTAGCAGCGGTTCGGGTAGAGCGTGGAATTGCAGGAACTTCTGATGAACTCGGTAACTGGGTTTGGAAGCTACGGCGCAGAAATCGTTGGCTATTCCGCGTCCGATTGTTTCCCCCAATGCCTCTGCCTCACCCCTCGGAACAACTTGCTTCCTCCTCCCCCTGCCGCCGCCATGTTCTTCATCGGCCGCGTCTTGACAGCACCCGGCAGCCTGCTGCCGGCAAACCCTCCAGCACTTCCGTCGTAACTCATCTTGCCGATGATCGGGAACCGGTGAGCGGATGGTGGAGGCTGATTGGTACTCTGGGCGGCCGCCGCCGCCAAAAACAGGGGATATGAAAACAAAGTGAGGTTGGGGAAGTTGGATAAGCTGGTTCCTGTAGGAGAAAGAGAAGGGGAGACGGGTTCGGGGGCTTTGCGGAGGTTGGCAAAGGATTTCAGGAAGTTTACACGAGTTTTCATCAGAGGTAAAGAACTAATGCGGTGAATAATTACAGCTTCCTCGGAAGAAGCTGAATTTGAATTTTCATTGGAGCTTTCAGGGGATGGTTTAGCAGTGAAGCCGCCATGACAGATGGGATCCGCGAAAATGTGGTTGGATCCTCCTGAAGGTGATGATGGTTGATGATGACAAGAATTGGGTTGGAGGTCTTTGAAGAGGAAACCTTCCATTTTGGGAAGAAACTAAGGTAGATAGAAGTGTTTACAGAACTGAATTCAAACCCAGGTACTGTATCTGATATCTTTCAAACCTTCCAATTTGATCATTATAATAATTTTTATTTTATTTTATTTATTTTATGGTAAAAATGAGTTGGACATTAAAATAGATTAAATTAAATTTTATTTATTATTTCTTAATTGCCACGTCACCAAGTTAACGGTCAACTTTGAGAGTTGACTACCACATCAGTCAAAGTTAACGGAGTTGGACGGAGAGTGACCAAACGTGAACGGTTTTAGTAAATTGAAGTACCACCAATGGATTTAAATATTTCGAGTGACCAAACGTGAACGTTTTTTGTAAACTCAGTGACCAACCATGCAATTAACCCAAACTAATAAGGAACTAGCAACTAACACTGTCTCCAACCCAAGCATGCAAATTTGGAGAAAGGGAGGTTTTTGGCTTTTTTTCATCTCCAACCCACCAAATATTTGGCCTGCAAATTTGGAGAAGTGGGCTTGGGGGTGGATAGATAGAAGCTGATATGGGAAAATGCAAGGAGAAGGTGGGGGACCATGGACAGCCCAAGCCCACACGCTAGAGCCCTCCACTTTCCAGCATCTTCTCTTTTTTTTTTTAATTTTTGATTGGTTTGATTATGAGTTGGGAAGGAAAATTTAGAAGGTTTAGGGTTGGAGCAAAAAAGTGTTTTTGGAAGGTAAAAATGCACATCTGAGAGCTTGAGAGGCTAAATATAACATTTTGGGTTGGAGTTAGTCTAAGCCCGCGCTCCTCTGCGGAGAATGCGTGAAGGACTCTTAAATTATCTTGTATAAATTATGATAGTTACAGATCCAACAAAAAAACAATATAAACATTTTGATTTATATCATAATAATAAATAAACACAACAAATAGTTATGATAATTGAGAAGCAAGGAATATATATATATATATATGCAAAGTACGAACCATTTTACATTCACATAAGATAGAAACCCACTAAATTATTTAAAAAACAATAAAATTATATAAAAAATGCATGCCAAGAAATTCGAGAAATACCAGATGAACTGAGCATTAATAATGGCTGGGATTGTTTATTTATTTATTTATTTTCGAGTGATATCAAGAGAGGAAAAGAGTTATACAAACAAAACTACCCAGGAACCCCCTACAAGCGACACCTTAATGAAGCCACCCAAATAATGGTTGGATTGTTTATAATAAGAAAAACAATCGTTCATTGATAACTTTATTACATATTGAGCAAAGAATATGTCAATGGATGCAATAAGCAAGTAACATTGATTAAACCAGAGAGAGGTGATCCATGTCCAACTATTTCCACCTCTGCAGTGAATACTTGGTTGTTTGCTAACTTCACCAGACGATGCTAGTCATCAACTGCAAGATTTTTGAACCCCGGTAATGGAGTTTTCAGCAAGGTAGTCACAAGCCATTGCCCAACATCAAATTACAGAAAGTCGTTCCATCCCCACAGGAGATCACACTCAAATAACTATTATGAAATTGAGGAAGCAATCAGAAACATTAATATTCCTTTCACATTAAGCAACGAAATAAATAAGTTAACATATACCTACCATTCAGGATATCTTGAGAAAACTTCTTGGTCTGTATTGAAATTCTCAACTTCTATCAAACACCAGTAGGATTTATGTTAAAAAAATGAAACATTCAACCTTAATTGTTGTTTACGCTATATATAGACATCGTATGCAATAATATTTAACAAGTGCAACATGTCACGCACAACAAACAAAAATTAGTCTGGGCAATCCAATTCATACCAGAAAGCGATTTTATTTTTTGGTCCCACTATTTACCCTTTGTCATTGTTTACATACGTAAGGCAGACGGGGAAAATGGTCAAATGTGGCGTCTGATGAACAATAATGGACCATTCTGATAAGATAATAATGGCGAAAGAGTTTCGAATAAAAAATCACGACCCAAGATTCGATCTCTACCATATTATCTTTACTATGTTTACCTTAAAATTGAGATACAATCTCTTAAAGATATCTACCTTCCCAGATGATATTTTGTCCACATAGGAGGATTTGAATTCATGCTGAACCGATACAACTCAAGTCCCCAGTCATTTACCTTCGATTTTCAGTTAGTTTTTTTATTAGAATACCCATCTACCTACCTTGGGCGTTTTTACAAAATGACGAACTTTATTAATTATAGTTTCCAAATAATTTCAGTACTATCATTCATCTTCCACCATCTTCATTACTACGACGCTTCTAGTTGGCAGCCGTAGCGGTATATATGTAGCTATTACTTCATTTTTCTTTCATGGAACAACTTGACTGGAGCAGCTGATACCCTGCCAGTATGTTCACGGGCGACACACATACATGGTGGTATTTTCTTGTTTCTATTCAATACTTCTTGTACGTTTCACTTGCACTGAATAGTGAATCCCTTAGGTAAAATAAAAGAAGGATAATAAATTATAGTTGGTGGACTGACCCATCATCTAGCTTGCAAGCATCATCAAACCACAATACCCTCCATGAAACCGACAAGGGTCGAACACAGTACCATACACATTTCATGGACCTAAGGTTGTTTGCGATTGTGGTTTGTACGATTGAACGGAATACACTTAGAGCCATATATTAAAAATGTCATATGACCGGCATATGTATGCATCCCACAATAAAAATGCCACACGACTACCTTTAATGGCATTGTATCTTTTCCCTCTGGTCACTCAAAGAAACCCATGCCGTTAAATTATCAATTTCTTATTCTTTGTAACATGAATTTTACTATTTGGACACCGTGTATACCAAATATACATTATCTTTGATTCTTTAATTTCAGTTATTTCATCAGGTTGGTTTGTCTAACTACTATTAAGACATTGATAAAGAGTAGTATGTGTGGTTTAGATAGATTATTTGCTCAAGGACCAAATAAATAGTGACAACGCAACAGACTAAGTAAATGACTCATAAATTCCTAAGAAAGTTTGCAAGTTCTCGAGAAATACTAAGTAATCTTTCATTTCGTCTTATGGTTAGACTTTGTTTGCTTTAATATATGTTTTAAAAATAAAACATATTATCAAAATAAAACTGTAAAGTTGCTTTTACGGTTCGTTTGGATAAAAGAATTTCGAGTATATGTTCATTAAATCAATATATCTAGCATAAGTTATTTTTTTCTCTTTGTAGCGTTGAGTTTAACTTCAGATATTTCAAAACTGTAAAATGTAAAGATGCAGATCTTTTATACTTAGATGGATTAACAAGCCCTAATCTTCCATGGAAAATACGTGTCCAATACCCAACAAATTAGTTGCGAATAAAGTTCACGGTGATATAAATTAAACAATATACAAATTAATGTGAGGCATTTTGTTTTAATGGTGAAAATTATAATTAATAATTTGGTTTCTTACTCCGATAACAAATATTATTTGTCATCAACGATATGTGAATTGAAATATGGAATATATTGAGAGGGTCTGAGCGATTGACGCCACCAAATAGCATACAAATAATTAGACAAAGTACCCAATACTTCATAAGAAAAATCAAGAGACAAAATACCCTATACAACAAACGACAAGCAAGTCCGAATTACATGTTCGATATTTTCACCGACCGGATACGCCGAATAGGCAAATCGAGAGCAATGCACGTTTGTCCTTGTATGCATCTGCAATCTTTCCTCACACGCTCTTTCATACATGTTAATACTCCGCCTTCTTAATATTGTCGGCCACTTTATTATTTCAACCTTTCGGCGCCCCTTATTTTCAACGCCACTAAATTATGAATGACAAATATACAGAACTGTTGTTGTATTTTTGCCTTTTTGGCATTAATGATTATGATTAGAGTCTCTATGCAATTTAGTGGACAAGTTATCAAAAAAAGATAAAATATACAATAAACTCTTTTAGACAAAAAAAAAAATTCGACAATTTGAAACAGTAACTATACCAAAAATGCCAAAGCTGTATATATAGCACCCCAACACCTGTCGCTACCCAAATAGAGATAGTCTCCTGATGAATGGATCACATGATGGTGGATTAGAGTGAGCACTGTGGGTGTGATATGGATAGTCACTAAAGAGGAATCAAACTTTCCCTGCCAAATGTTTGCTCGTTCAAGGACCACAATATAGTTCCCAACTTTTCAGCAAATAATCCGGTGAGTTCTAAAAGTAAAACACATGCCTCTAAATTTTGTTAATTTTGTCAATATTGGGGAAAAAATGAAATAATGGTGCCATGAATTTGAC